GGTGGTGGTCCTGACACCAAGACAGTGTCTCTTTGCTCTGATCACACTGAGCTTCCTCCATTCTGCAATACCCTTAGTGGGACCCGATGATACGAAAAATCTGTTATCATTAACACTTTAAAGATGTTGTCTGAAAGTGGGTATCAGTTAAAGCACTGGAAAACTAACTGTATTCCACCCTCTGTGTGAGTCCTTTCAAGGGCTTCCATCCTCTTAAATAAATTTAGGATGTTCAAAAAGCTGTGTTAACTTTGTCTGTGAACACTCACTCGGAGACTGAAACTGAGCTCCTTTGAACATAAGTGCTATTCAGTAACAGAGCAACAGACCAAAGACGGATATTGTTCAGAGATTGATTTTCTAGACTCTTATCTTTAAGAAATAAATTTCAATTACTGAATTACACCAGTAATGGGTGGTTTTGCTCTTATTATTCTTTAGCAGCTTTCCAACAGGAGTCTAATGACTGGTATGTGAGCTTTGTAACCAGATTGTGCTTAGTTTAAGAATAAATACATTCAAGAAACAAACAAAAAATCCTTTCTGCTAAAAAAATTGTTTTAATTATACTGAGAGATAAAATTTACTCTTTAGTTTGAAGAGAAATGGAATATGGGGCAATGGGTTTGAGGGGCAGAGGCTGTCATTTGATATGCATTTTCATAGCAATTAGCACAAAATATTCCTTATCCATCATTTGGAACTCTAACAAATAAGGCAATATAAATCATAAAAATCAACACTAATGATTATGATGTTGCTAGGGGCTGTCATTTTCAGTTTTCTTGACAAACTTTATATCAGCTATGCTATTATCATTCAATTAACAGTAAATATAATGCAATGTCTCATCTAGCACAGATAAAGGAGGTTTCTCTAGCCAGGGAAGTAGAATGCCAAATGGAAAGAAAGCTAAAAAGATAATTTCTTCTTATTTCCTTTGAGTGCTGGGCTTTTGATGTAAAGCACCTGCTCCTTTTAAATGATTGCTTCTTTGTAGGATCTTGCTTAACAGGCCACGATGTGGCACAGGCAAAGCTGACACAAGAGACAGACACTGAGGCAAAACACCATGGAGTCCAACAGGGTGGGACACGGTGGCTGCTCAAAGTCACGTCATGCAGAAAAAACAAGAAACATCCATACGACGCAACAAACAACAGGCAAAAGAAAAGGTTGATATCATCAG